GTGTGTGTGTGTGTGTGTGTGTGTGTGTGTGTGTGTGTGTGTGTGTGCTGCTGCTGTTCATTCAGGCTGAACTGTGATTTCATTCCTTCTGGGGATTCCTGGTCTAAAGTGTAACTGTAAGCTGTTGTCTTTTTTTTAACTGGCTACACAGGAACTGAGGAGGAAGACAGCAGAAATCCATTAACATCCCGACCCGGTTGTCGCTGCTTTTTTCCAGACTGAGGAGGAAACGTCTCGCTGGTTGGCTGAAAGATCCATTGAACTCTCTAAATTGTTAATACAGCCAGTGTGAGCAAATGGTGTCCGCTGCAGAGGGCAGCTGCACACCGACTCTGTTCATATTGACTGAGCTGACAACGTTCCCAACAACTATAATGATGGCTTCGCGCTCCCTCTGCAAGGGATGTCATTTTAAGGATAATGCACGATTTTCTCATAAGATGGTTAATTACATATGCAGCATCTCTGTAAGGTCTTATTGGTCTTTTACATGACGTGTGGACTTGAATAAATGCTACCTTACAGCCCTCCTTAATGATTATTTTAGGTTTGATACTCTTCGATGTCGTATAAATTTGCTCTTACTGATATGATTCATGGAGATGGTCTTTTGAAGGAAAACGCACAAAAATGTGGAATAACTTTTTCATAAGATAACACATGAACCGTTGTATGAGGATGTGTCATTTTGTGTATTTAGTGTGAGTAAGTTTGTGACCTATAGCTGTCATGTTGTAAAATATGTTTCTGAAAACATTTGAGGTGAGAAATAAGCAGAATCTGGATTCATATTTGATATTTGCATTTAAAGAGACTAAACAATAAATTAGTTAATTGCAAAAATGTTAAACAGATTCATTGATAATGGAAATAATCATCGCCGTAGTTGCAGCCCCAGTAGCAGCAACCTTTTGAAACAGGAATAAAAGGGCTTCATGGGAAATGCAACACTAACAATCACCCTCCTGTTCTCTCATTTGTTTACAATAATTATTTCAAGGTAATTTGTTTATGGATGTTGCTGATCATCATTTCACAGCTAACCCTAACCCTCGTGGGTGGGTGGATATGAATTAGCAAAAAGTAAGTATTTGCTTTGTTGTATAACATGCTGTAGTCTGTTTACGCGCATAATTAAATACTGTCATATGGGATGATCATCAACACACCTGTCAACAGAGACAGCAGCGAGTGTGAAGCTGCTGGCGTACATGGTGAGGTTGATGAAGAAGTGGACCACTTTGCACATGAAGGAGCCGAACACCCAGCCCTCCAGAGAGTAGATGGTGGCTTGGAAAGGAACGCAGAAGATGATGAAGAAGAAGTCGGCCACGCTCAGGTTGAGTATGAACAGGTTGGTTGTGTTGTAGCCCACCTGCCCGCTCCGCAGAAGCACGGCGAGCACCAGGCTGTTGCCGATGGTGCCCAGCAGGAAGATGAGGGAGAAAACCACCGATACAATCACACTGGTCGGGTTCAGCTGGTAGCTTTCAGATACATTCGCCAGCCCTCCCGGCCAGCCGAAATCCTCAAAGTCAGACATTTCTGAAATAGGAAATAGGAGAAGAGAGAAGATGCATGATGAATATAATTTATAATCACTATCTTAGAGCTTTTGATTGTTTTACTACGTCTTCTGGGTGGAAATCTTCAATCACATCAACTGAGAGTACTGTACCTCAAATTCAGACTGGCCAATCAAACCGTAGCTTCAGCCAGCTCTGACCAGGGTCTGAAAACTCCCCGACTGTGCTCATTTAATTCAGATTTTACTAATTTTCAGGCTGGGTTTGTGGATTTGGAGCTAGTCATGGTTAAACGTTGCGTAACAGTGATACAGGTTACCTAGAAACGTTAGAAGGATATACCTTTCTAAAACGTTACGTTTCTATGTTAGAACCTGTGGAGCTAACATTAGCAGAGTACGTTAGCACTTCTATGCTACGCTAGCTACTGAAGGTCTACTGAATGTAAACACATGCTGCTTTTGTTTTTTAATGATTGTACCAGTGAAAAAAAGACCTACCCAGCTTTACAGTAACAGTGTTGATCCTTAATTCTATTGTCTTCTGTCTCGATCGCCGGTGATGTGGTGGTTCACTTCTAAACTGTGATCTGTAGCTTTAGCTTCTATCTTTATCTTTTTAACCTGTTTTCACTGCTGAATCAGTTTGACATCCTGGATATATCCTTCAAACACAAATTGCAGATCCTTCAGTCCGCTTCTTTCGGAAATCGTTTTTCGTCAAGATAATACTTATGAGTTCAGTTAGTGACAGTGTGGGCTCCATGGTAACTCTTGAAGTAGCAGCAGGGCCCGGGCTTAGTGAAGGGTTACTTTCGTACAGATCCTTTGAAGACGGGGCTCATGCACTTCCAGTTAAAACCCAAAAGAGCTCACTCAGAAGGGCTTTAATGATGAGTCTCTGCAACTTTTAAAATTATACTAAAAAGGTTGACAAGCCTGCATGCACCAGAAGATTTCTTTATCCAATTAGTCCCCAGTGGAGGCATGTCACGCATATTATTAAGACAAGAGTGAGAGGCTGTTTTTAATTGGCTAGTGATGCATTATCCAATGTGTCCAGGGAATATTTTCACTGTTTAATTAAAAATAAGGTTGCAAAGTCAATCTAAATGGAGATGTTACCAGCCTAATTTAAATGGTAATGCTTCATTCACACTTTGTATTACGGCTTTTATTTTATTTTTTTAAGGGTTTGCTTAACACAGTGAGAAATGAGGGTCCCCTTTAAATTGAAGATTTGATGCTTTTCCATGTAGTCAATACATCGCGGAGATAAGTTGGCTTCAAATATGAACATACGGTTTTCAAATAAGTGGGTAGCCACTTGCAGCCAGCAATTGGCCTCCTCTCCTCTCCGAGAAGAAATTGTGTTTTAAAACCAGAGATGGCTTAGTGCCATCTTCTGTTATGTTCACTCTCTATAAAGATAAAGAGCAGGAGTCCATCTCAGCTGGGGGATCTTTGCTATGAGCCACAACACATCATCCATTCACGATAAGCAGTGTCTAAGCCCTGCAATTTCTGACCAGTAATGGCGTCACATTGGACCCTCTGACGTGTTGCAGTTTTATAGAAGCAGGCTCTCTCAGGCTGGCGAGTCGTGCAAAATTGAGGCTTGAAAGTAAAGAGGTGCTCTTGATGGTAAAGTAGATGAGCTACAGCGAGAATCACACACACGCATGTCCCCAAACATTTTATTTAATCCCATCCATCCAACAAAGAGTTCAATTCTGAATGAAATGAGCAGCTGAGACAACAAACCCTGTGTGTTTGGTCAGTGAGCTGTTTGTAAAGAATTGGGTGACATCTACAGACTAAATCCAAATAAGGACGTGACATGACAAGAGCATTTAGTAGTAGATAAACTGCCATGGTCCTTGATTTTAGTTTGAAAGTGCACTCATGTTTTGTTTTACTTCCCGTCTGTGTGTTTTCCCGCCTTTTTGATTGTCTGCCCCGCCCTGATTAGTTTCACCTGTCCCTCATTAGTCCTGCACTCCTCTCACTTCCTGCTCACCTGTTCTCACTTCCCCAATTAAGCATTCACCATTTATCTCGATCGCTGTTCTTTTGTTGCTACACAGAGCTTTGTTTGCCTGTTTCTGAACTATTTGTGCAACCCTGTCCTCTACAGCATTAGGTTCCCATACAACTATGCTGCACTGTCAATTATGTTTCGAGGGAAAGGTACATTCTCCTGGCCTTGCAGTATTAAACAGTTTGAAACACGTGGTTAACGTTGTATATTGAAACAAAAAAATATATATCCTACAAACCTACTTGGTTAGGTAAAAACTGCCGAAAGTACTTATGTCGAGGCAACAACAGTACTTGGTTATGTCGAGGCATTCGCATTCGCACCTTCTATTATTACTGCAATTATTTTGTTGAGGTTGTAAAGAGCACATCTGAAACTACATTACCAACTGCTATTCAAAAACCTCAGAGGTAATGATGGGCAGCTGGAAGCAGATGCAGCATATCTGCTTCAAGTGTATTTTAATCAGCTCTTCGTGCTGATTTCTGGTAAAATAAATCGAAGGAATTCCCATTTTTCTGCCAATGCAGACTTCCAAGCAAGGCTTGTTCATTCATCGCTGACCGCTCCTAAATGGGCTGTCTCCTATGGGAAAGAAACTCCATGTCACATCACCTTCAAACGGTGGCTTTCATTTGGAAATGTGAATTTTGTCTGAGCCTTTTCGTGTGGAAACAAAACCCATATTGAGCTACAGTAGAGAATGTGGATCCAATTCTGTTAAATCCGTGGTTAACTCCATAGAATTGATGAAAAATGGAAACAACCCACATATTTGATAACCCCATATGCCAAGCTAAGGCTACAACCATAAGGTTTTTTCAGACTAAATTATTTTTCTTGGAATCACCCTAAAGCAAGAATGTAGCTTGATCCGAGTTGAACTGAATAGGCATGAATGAAGGTTGCTAATTATCCCTCCTAAATTAACAGACTGGCTTTTTATATGCAAGACATGACGCATCACTATACAATGCCCCATCGCAGATCTGTGGCAGAACAAATGTGATCATTTACAAAAGTCATGAAGCTGAAATGAAATAGCAGCGCTGAGAAGCTCAGACTGCAGCAAAGCAACTTGTTGATGGACAGATTCGATTTTATTTCGACGAAATCAATCACAGAAGTGTTATCTTTTTATGACAGTAAAGCAAAATCATACAGGGAACTAATATTCTGTAAATACAGACCAACACCAACTGATATCTTGTGAGAGTATTTTAATGCACCCTCTGGCTTTCATACTCAAATCTCAGCAATAACCAGCATGAAATTAATTAAACATTAAACTTTCAACAGCCTTTGAGTGTGATGCCAGTCTATTTGCATAATCACAATCGTGACTGAGAGCAAAATGAAGAGGATGCACTGATTACAGGCAAATGAATGACACTCTAAAGTGGAGATTGTCGGAATGTGTTCTTCTAAACCTCATAAAGGGTTATAGCGTCGGCTGGTCGGTGCTGCAGAGAAATGTTCCTCATAGCTCTGTGTCAATGCCTGACTTCAGCAGCCTCTTTCATGGTGAGGCTGATTCCCCATTCTTCCCACAAGGAAAGACAATATGGACTGATAATACACATCCGACTGCAGTGGGATATCAGGGCTTCGACTCCGGTCAGAACCTGTGCAAGAGTCTCAGGGGGGATCCGAACAAACAGGGGCATACATGCAGTACAGGAGCTTTATGAGCTGGTAACAGAGCGTGTGGGACATTTGGCTGAGCTCGGTGTGGCTGTCGTAAGGGCACAATTAGAGTTTTTGGAAAATGATGCAATGAAAAGTGAAAACAGCAGAGCCAGAGATTAGGAGGGTGATGATGGGGCTGTAGCACAACCCAAACCAGACTCTGTGGGAAAACATCTTCATTGTCACAGGAGAGTCTTCAACATTAACATAAATGATGAGCGGGCACACATAAGACAACAGAATACATCCCCATATTTTGCATCTTTATCAATAAACAACGCCAGAATAAGTCATGTGATATTAAAGGCAGGTGGTAACACGGATTAAAAACATAACTTTAGGTATCAGCCGAGCAACTTCAACATTTCTGCATCTTGTAATCAGATGAATAAAAAGAAGATGCTGATTGTGTGTCATAAATGTGAAATGCAAATGCTCTTACCAGCATTTCCATTGCACACAAGCAGCAGAATCAGCATGCAGCTCATGGCAGATGCAGCATGATAAACCTACCAGGCTGATGATGGGTGGACAGCATCCAAAGCTTCCTCTCAGATCAAGAAGGAGACTCCCAGCAGACCTGCTTCCTTGCTCATACTCTCTACACCGAAGCCTGTTCTCCCTGTGTACGTCGCTATCTGCCTGTGTTGCTGGTATCTTACTCTTTCTCCGCCTCCCCTCCCCCCCTCCCCTCATCCAACCCAACCACTCTCCCCCTAGTGAGGACTCCTCCGCCACAATCACTTTAATGTTCACTCTACACTGCAGAAAAGGATTGCAGAGCGGAGGTATGTAGGGAGGCTGCAGCGCCCGGTAATCTATTCACAATCAGTGCATAATCAGGAGGGTTACCTGACAAATAACCCTACACAACATCGATCGCTGCACATACACCCAGATCAGTCTTAAAATGAGGCAGTGACCTTTGCATTTGCATTAATCCTCACCATGGCTTGTTATGTAATGAGTGAAACCGTTGTCTGCTGAGAGGGAACACGTTTCAATTTAGAAAATCAATTCAGGAGGAGCACAAGAAAGATCGTGCTGTCTGTGTGACATTGTTGGAGCGGTAATTTGTGGGTAACATTCCTAAGCATGTTATTTATTTACTAACCCACAAATCTAACTTTTAGAATGAGATTAATCACTTCAGGAATTGGATGCATGTATTAAAAACTCATTTTCATATTGATGTGCGAGACTACGTGGTTTGGGTAACAAATCTTGTGCTTTCGGCGATGTTTAAGGTGCATCTTTATTCATGACCATGGTGTCAATAACACCACCTCAAGCTAAACATTAATGCCTAATAGTTGAGGGATCTCAGTGGTTAACAGCTTTGGAGGGTTTAGAAACAGTTATATGACCATTGAACAGTCTTGACCAACAGGAAATGTTATCATGAAATGCATGAAAGTCTCTCTTACTTGATGTTAAAAGCAGATTAATAAATGTATTACTTTTTTATTTTTTATTTATCTGACTCCTCCTGACACATGTGCACTTGGCTTCATATTTACATAATAGTATTGAGAATGCAATGTCCACATGTGGATGAGTCTTCCTTTGGCTTTCTGCTGCTCTTTTTAACCCAATCCCCTTTCCCAATTATTGTACCTCCAGGCAACCATCAAACTATCTAGCGAGCACCTGTTGGCTACTGCACCTCTAATACAGGACCAGAAGGGGGTCAGAAGGGCTCCTGTTATGGGAGGTACTAACACCTTGGTAGTGAAGTATTGACTTTCCCCTCGTTTATTTACTCACTGGTTCAATTTCAAACCCAGATGCGTCATCGTCAGTGTGAGTAGAAAACATTTTGCCAAACCAACAACAATCCTGATTCAAGATGCAACCTTCCAACCTTCAGTCTGACACGTCCCTGCCTCCACAAGTTCTGACATGCGGTCTGAGCTGCTGTCAGCAGGCATCCATCAACGGACTGCAGGACATCGGGTCAGACAAGGCAGGACGGAGCATCATGTCCACACGGAGAGACAACCTGTGGGAAACAAAAGCAGGCTTTTTCATCCATTACTTTACAATGTTTGTACTGATGGCCCTTTATGTCATGTCTTCTTGCACTTAAAGGTTTTTAAATATTTTTGCCTTGTTTCTACAATATTTGACAGTGACATGGCAAATTTGAAATTCATCTCATGGTTCAAGCCCCCCCCCCCACAAAGTTATAAACTACTAACATCTCCTCAGGTTACATGTACTGACAACCAGCACTGGATTACAAAGTTTGATTCTGGTTATCTAACAGCCTTCTTTAAAAAAGGAAGAGGAGGAATGTGGCCGGATAGTTTGGTCGATGAGGAATTCTCGTCTCAGCGTAAGGAAAATGAACATTCAGAAATTCCTCTGGGTGTTGTTTTCAAGTCAGCGTTTCCATGGCAACCACAGATTGAAAGGATGGCAAACACACAGGATTGATTTCCAGAGCAGAGCAGAAGGAGGAGCATGACATTTTACAGAGTAGTCTGCATAGAATAGTGAACTGGTGAATTATTAAAAAGCAGCTTCAGGCCGAACAGAAAAAAATATTTCTTCTGCTAACTTAAACCCGAAAGAGAAGTCTCTGTAGACGGAATCTGAAGAGGAGCCATTCTGTTACTGTTTGCCAACAAGAATACAATCAAATCCAGACGCCCCTAATGAAATTACGCATGTGGCAACACTCATCAGTTGATTTTTTCCACTTAACATCCTTTCAAGACTAAGAAAGATTGTGTGACATGACCCCAACCGTCTTCTGTTTTACAAATATTTTATTTAATGCTCATCATTGTATTCAGAGAGGCGCCATCACAAAAAGCAGAATATTCTGCAGTGTACCAGTGACATGAGCTGACTGTTTCTGAGCTGATGAAAGCAGTGAAATGTGCACAGCGTCGGTGTCGACAAGCAATCAAATTACTCTTGTAATAAAAGTGTGATAAAAATACTGATGGAATCATTAACTTCAAGATGCAACATTTCTGTTCTCAACTCAATTAGGCTGATCAGACCATCTAATTAATAAGTAAATATTGACGTTTTACGTTAGAAATCAATTACATTGTGAGTGACTGGTTTATATTCTGCATGTGGATCTTGCTCTATTGGTCCCCTCTCAGTGCAGAAGACTAATCACAACAACAGCCACAGAGGAAATTAGAGGTATGTATCTAAGGTGAAGTGCTAACCTCACACATGATCACTGGAGCGTTTTCATTAGCTTGAACTTGCTCATGTACAGAATCGAGTGAAATAAAAGAGAAGTGCCTGCACTGTGCTGATGGATCAGCTGCTCCAGTGGTGGAAGAAGTACTCGTACTAGATGTTTTACTTAAGTAAAAGTAACAATAAAACAATTTGAAAATACACCATTGCAAAAAGGTCCTGCATTCAAAGTAAAAGCACAGAAGTAAAATGAAGTTAATTGTACTTAAAGTATTAAGTAAGAGCACTCATTCCATAGAAAAATTACCTCTGTGGCTGATACATCATTTCAAATTATATTAATATTGTTATTACTGATGTATCAATATGCAAGAAGCATTTTACTGTTGTAGCTGGTCCAGGTCGGGCAACCCATGGACTGTATATAAGAAGTGGACACAGTCGTTGTGACGTCACCCATTGGTTTGTGGACTGCTGTTTTGAAGCCTTGAGTTCAGTGCAATGTGCATACATAGATATTGGTAGAAATCGGTACGGACAGAGAGACAGAATTGCGATTTTGGCTAATTAGTAGTCAATAAAAACAATTTGCTAAATTAGTAAAAGTACTAATAAAAAGCACCAGTAACGTGCACAATGTTTACTGGTAATAAATCAAGTGAGAGGTAGGGTCATTTTCTCATAGGCCCTACAATCAGACTTCTCTTTGCAACCAGAAGAGTCGCCCCCTGACGGCCATTAGAGAGGATGCAGGTTTAAGACACTTCCACATTGACTTCTCTTCTCAGAACTGTAGGTTGCAGCTTGGGGTCACCAAGTAAATCTGGGGCGTCATGTTTGAGATGATTCAAAGGGTGGGAAAGAAGGAAAAACATTCAGCGACACACATTTGCATTTATTTATCTGGACTTTTCTCTTAGCTTTGCTTCTTTGTAAAGTAATCATAGACATCTGAATCGTGACTATAGACTCTGATTTTTCTATGAAAGGCAAAAACAATTGTCAAGTTAAGTTCAAGTACCTCAAACTTGTACTGTAGTATAGTATTTTAGTAAATGTACTTTCTACCGCTGGCTATGTCATGTCATGGTCTCAGATTGTGATGAACTAGTTTGTCTTTTAGCAGTATGGCTAAATGGTATGCACACAAAACAGAACACAAATTCAGTGTGTTCAGTACAGGAAAAGGCCGACTGAACTATTTCTCCAGAGATGTGAAGAGTTTACCTCGTGTATACACCACTCTGAATCAGAATGGCATGTCTCTATATCGTCAATAAGTCCTCTTGGTACTGCTGCATGACTCCTACCTTCATTATTTTTTGAAATGCACCACTTTCAATGATTTTTACAAGGAAAAAAAGAAGAATGGAATACATTACGAAAGTTGGTTAAAAAAATAAAGCCTTGACCTACTGTATTCATACACCTCCATTCAAACTATGTTGGAAGCCGGCAAGGCTACTGGCGCTGGTTGAATCATTACTCACTCATCCTACACAAACTCGGTAATGTTACAAAGAACAAGTAGTACAAGCTGAAATTGAAGTACTTGTTTTTTAAAAGAGATGACCGTGGGAGAAATATTTGAATGGAAAGAAAGGAGGCAAGACGTTTGCATATCAGCTGATGTATAATGTGAAAGTAAATATTCGGTGACTGACTGGAACTACAGATATCAATGGTTCACAACAGATAATGAATACAACCCTTCAGAATAGATATTTCCAGAAGTGAATGCACTGGCTAACAAAATGTCTCATAAATATTAAGACTCATCGTCTAAACTTGGAGAAGATCATGGATTGTCTGTTCACCGCCTTGGTCCAGAGTGAAATATCTCAACAACCACTGGATGAATTGTATTGTACAGACGTTCATGGTGCCCAGAGGATGGATCCTAAAAACGTTGGTGATCCTCTGAGTTTTTCTCTACACATTTGTGGCTTTGAGTCAAATGTTTCAACAACTATTGTATGCATTGCCATGAAATGGGGATCAGACATTCATGCTCCTTCAGGATGAATTGTAACAACTTTGGAGATCCCCTTTGTTTACCTCTAGCACCATCATAAGGTCAATATTTTAATTTGCCCTACACTTTGGTTTACAACCACATTTTTTAAAAACTAATGTCATTCACACCAGCTTAAGCTATATTTTGTGTTTAGTCCTGAAATGTTAGCATGCTTACTTACAAGAACAGTGTGTAGGATTAACGGAACGGACAAACCAAACACTGGCTTTAGCGGGGGTCTTTCACGTTCTTTAGGTAACCTGAAGGCCAGCGTATAGTTCTCCAACTTGCTTGGAATTGAGGGGTGCCACTAAGACTAACACACTGCCACTAGAATGGTGAACATGGTTATACCTACTAACTCTTTTAGTCTTGTTATAATGGCAAAGCTTATGGATTTAATTACCTTTTTATATGAAAGCTAAACTAATTATACATTTTAAATGAGCATGGTGTTGCAGGAAATCTCTCGTCAGCAGGCAG